TATTAGGGAAATGCAAATCAAAACCACAATGAGATATCATCTCACACCTGTTAGAATAGCTGTTATCCACAGGACAAGTAATAACAAATGCTGGAAAAGGATGCGGAGAAAAAGGAACCCTCATCCACTGCTGGTGGGACTGCAAACTGGTATAGCTGCTATGGAAAACAGTATGGAGGTTCCTCAAAAAACTATGAGTTGATCTACCATATGATCCAGCAATCGCTCTACTGGATATTTACCCCAAAGACTTGAAAATCCATATCCGAAAAGATATTTGCACACTGATGTTCATAGCAGCATTGTTCATAGTGGCCAGGACATGGAAGCAACCAAAGTGTCCTACAATAAATGATTGGATAAAGATGCCGTGGTACATTTATACAATGGAATATTACTCAGGGATAAGAATAGATGAAATACTGCCATTAGTGACAACATGGGTGGACCTTGAGATAATCATGCTAAGCAAAATAAGCCAGATAGAAAAAGTTGAAAATCACATGATATCACTTATACGTGGGATATAAACCTAAAAGCAACAAATGAACGGGAGAAACAGAGACTCATGGACATGGACAATAGACTAGTTGTTACCAGAGAGGGTAGGGGAGGAGTGGGGAGGTATATGGATAAAAGGAGGTCAAATATAGGGGAGTAGGGGGAAGGTGATGTGGGTAAAGGGGATCAAATATATAGTAGCTGAAGGAAACTGGATTTTCGGTGGTAAACACATAATAGAATATACAGATTATATATTCTGTATAATTCTGTCATTACCAGAGGGTAGAGGGTGGGGGAGGAGGGGGGAGATAGATGGATTAAAGGAGGTCAAATATAGGGGAGTAGGGGGAAGGTGATGTGGGTAAAGGGGATCAAATATATAGTAGCTGAAGGAAACTGGATTTTCGGTGGTAAACACATAATAGAATATACAGATTATATATTCTGTATATAATTCTGTCAAATTATAATGTATACCTGAAAATTATGTAATTATACTAACCAATGTTACCCCAATAAACAATTTAAAAAAAAAGAAAAAAAGTTTCTCATAACCTTCATAATTGTCCCGTCTTACCCTTTCCCACCCTGACCTTACTACCCAGGCAACTGCTCTTTTACTTTCTGTTACTATAGGTTACTTTGCATTTTTAAAATAATTTTATATAGATGGAATCACACATTATGTATTTTTTCTTTCCACATATTTATTTTGAGATTCATCCATGTTGTTGCATATTAAATAGTAGTACATTCCTGACTAGTATTCTATTCTCAGTATGTACCACAATTTATTATCCATTCCTCTCTTGATAGACATTTGGCTGCTTTCCACTTTGGGGCTATTACAAATAAAGCTGCTATGAATCTTCGTGGAATCATTGTCTGGACCTGTGCTTTTATTTCTCTTGGTAAACACTGGGAGCAAAATGGCTGGGTCATATGGATGTTTAACTATTTAAGAAACCAATAAACTTTTTTCAATGTAACTGTAGTATTTTACATTCTCACCAGGAGTGTATGAGAGTCTCGTTTTTTCCCACATCCTTGCCAATACTTAAAATACTCACTGTTTTTAATTTTAATATTCTAATAGTTGCGGAGTAGTACTCTCCTGGCAGTAAGCTAAATAATCATAGGGTTCATTTGTTACAGTTTTTCATTGCCCAGTGTTTTCTGTGTTCAAAACTCTTGTTTTATACATTTTGTCTAGGTTTTTAGTTATTTCATGTGAGAGGGTAAATCCAATCTCTGTTATTCCATCTTTGTTGGAAGAGATTTTATAGTTTATTTTGGGGGGAAAAATTCATTATTTTTACATATTCCCTGATGAAAAACAATGTAAGAACTTGCGTTTACTAATAGTATGTGATTTAGGCACCTAGCAGGTAATGTGCTTATATGTACAGTATTTCATTTAATTGGGAAAGTCTGATTATTTTATTCATTTTCATATATTTGGTATTTAAGTTTTCCTGTATTGAAGAAATTTTGTATGCTCCCATAAGATTCTTCAAAATGGTGTAAGCACTGTACTTCAGATGCTAATTATTTATTCTCAGCTAATCATGTCATGATCTTGTAACTTCAACCTACTTGTTTTTATATATTGTCCTCTTACTGTAATGCAATATTCCATCTTGAAAGTTTTTTCTTTACTTTTACAAATAATACATGGGTTTGTCATTTCAGGTGCCATTGACATTCAGTGATGTTGCCATAGACTTCTCTCCGGAAGAGTGGGAATGCCTAAATTCAGATCAGAGGGATTTGTACAGAGATGTGATGTTGGAGAATTACACTAACTTGGTCTCACTGGGTAAGGACATTGGCCTGAAATGACAGAATCTGGTATCTGAAATATCCACTTTCTCCACTGTATATTTTATGCTCTATGCCAAGAAACAAGCTAAAATTTGGCTCCGTATTGTCAAGACTATTTTGACCTTTGTATGTCAAGTCTAATAAAGAATAAACTATAGAAAGTAAGAGATGCATAGAAAAGTATCTTTTTAAAAATAGGAAGTATATTTGTAATAACTCTTTTAATATCTTTGTCTACTAATTCCATTATCTGTATCACTCCTTGGTCTGTTCCTTTTGATAGATTTTTCTCCTATTTAGGGTCATATTTTCCTGCTATTTTGCATGACTGATAATTTTTTATTAAATGCCAAACATTGTGACATTTCCTATGTTGGAATGCTGGATTTTTAATATATTTTGTATGTTTTGGGAATTTGTTCTGGGATGCAGTTATGTAATTTAGAACCTGTTGGTCCTTTCATGGTTTGCTTTACAAACTCTGTTAGGGTGGGTCCAGAACAGCTTTTAGTCAAGGGCTAATTTGGCCCCACTACTGAGGTAGTACCCTGCTGGGAACTTTGATGCTTCATGTGTTACAAGGGCTTTCCACTCAGGTTGGTGGAAAAAGTATTATCCCCTGACTTTCATGACTTCCGGGGATCGTTCTGCCTAATCTTCTTTGGTAGAGTCCATTCTTTGGCTTTATTAGTTTCCTCACATGCGTGTCCAGATTTGTGCTGTTGGTCTCAAGGGGATCCTTCTACAGACGTCTAGTGGTCTCTCTCTTTGCAGCTCCCTCCTCTCTTGACATTTTGCCTTGCAAATTCTGTACTTCTTTCCCTCCTTTAATCTCTCTATTCTGCCTTCTCCACTCAGAGATACAGCTGAGCTCTGTTTTAGTTCCCCCTCTCAGTGCTTTGTTCTAGAATTCTGGCACTTGCAGGGCTCACTTCCTTTGTTTCCCTTTTCTTAGGGGAATTACTGTCCTACACTATCTGTTGTCCAATATCTGAAAGCCACTGTTTGTATATTTTGTCTAGCTTTTTTTCAGTTTTTAAGGTAGGAGGGTAAAACTGATCCTTCTTAATGTTATGTGACCAGAGCACAAATTGTTGATTATCTTTGAAAGCTTCTTTGCACTTCAGTGTAAGAGGTCCCAGAATCACCTTGTATCTTCCTTGTCCTGGACTAGGAATTACCTGTTATTATTCCAAGGCACCCTAATTCACATTAGCAGGAAATAGTTTATATAGAAACTGAAACCTGACCAACAGGGGAGCTCATTGTGTTTGGCTCTTTGTGGGGTTAAATATACAAAATTTTTCCTATTTCTTCTATGGAAATTCATTTGTCCCTATTTTCTATCTTTTCTGGAATCTGTTGTTTCACTTTTGATTTTGAAATAATTTTAGATTTATAAAAGAGTTACAAATGTGGTACAAAGAGTTCCAGTATACCGGTCCCATAATAATAGTATCTTACATAATCATGGTACATTTATGAAAACTATCAAGTTAACATTTTAAAGTACTATTTACTAAACTACATATTTTATTCTTATTTCACCAGTTTTTGCACTGTCTTTTTTTCTGTTCCAGAATCCAGGATATCACATTGCTTTTATTCATCATGTGTCCTTACTTTCCTCTAATCTGTGACAGTTTCTCAGTCTTTCCTTGTCTTTCATGACCTTGATACTTTTAAAGATTACTGGTCAGGTATTTTGTAGCATGCCCCCAATTTGGGTTTGTTTGATGTTTTCTTAGGATTAAACTGAGATTATGGATCTGGGGGAAGAATACCAGAGAAGTACCTTTCTCATCATATCTTAATGGGGATATGTGATATCAACATAATTTATCTCTGGGATGTTAACCTTAAAAATTTCTTTAGGTAGCATCTGTCAGTTTTCTTCATTGTAAGTTTATTACTTTTTCCTTCTCATATTGTATTACTTAGAAATAAAGTAAATCTAGCTAGAGTCAGTTTTGACAAATTATATTTTCAGAAAGATCATTTCATGTGCATCTCAAATTTATTTGCGTAGTTGTATGATTTTTTAACATTCTCTATTTCTTTATTGATGATTATTTCCTTATTGTCATGATGTTTGGTTTTTCCTCTTTTTATTTTTTGAATAGGTAGATTATGGTTTTTATGAGTTAACTGTTCCGTTTTATTTAAATTTTGCTTTTATTGTATTAATTTCCCTTCCTGTCTTCTTTCAGTGTACTTCATCATTCTTTTTCTAATTTTTTTTATTTTCCCAGTTTTTTAATGGAATGCTTAATTTCTTCATTTTAATTATTGTATTTTCCATTAGCTGTTTTAAGCCTTTTATTATTGTTTTTATTCCTGACCCCGGCCCCAACCCTATGTTTTAAGCCTTATAGTCTGAGTTTACAGCACTATAGTTAAAGGCCATTGATTCTGATGTATAGTATTTTCATTATTATTGTTCTTGATAAGTTCTCTGGTTTGTTTGTATTTTCTCACTGACCTGACAGAAGTCTTTGAGAGATTTTTATTTATAAACAGTAAGCGTTTTAGCTTTTCGGGATTTTACTCATTTCTTATTGTTTCGGAGAATATTGTTCGCATTATTTCAACTTTTGAAACATATCATACTTTATTCACAGAAGAATTCCATTTATCTTGAATTCATACTTGACTCATTTAGCACATTAGATTTCTTCAAGCTGTTCTGCCTCCAGATTACCAATCTTCAGCCTACGTTCAATGTACCCTTTTTTGCGGAGTCCCACGTACTCAGTTTCCCAGACTCTTCCCTATGTTATTTAGTTACTCTTCTTTTTCCCCCAACATCACCAAATTTATTTGCTGAGACTTACATAAGCCTTTAAAAATAATATTAAATAATACAGTTCCCAAAAAATTACTGACATATGTTTTTGAAAAATTCAAGAAAGATTGGCCTTGGCTGTAAAGGAATAGAAGGGAAAATCTGGGAAAGGCATTGGAGAAACAAAATAGATTGAGCATCTTTAGGATGGATGGATAATATTAAAACTCTATCGATGAAGGTAATACAATATCTTTTACTTTGATTGGGATAAAAACAAAAAACAGTCATGACAATCGCACAGGAATGACTGAACAATAGTGTTAGAGACACATATATTTTTAAAGAGAAATGCAATTGGAGAATGATCAGGTATCAAAATTTTCCATTTCTGTTTTTGATTGAGCTAGTTTGGATATGCATTTTTTTTTATCTGTAACAAATGATAGAGAAAAGCATATTTTACTACAATAAGGTGTAAGAGATTAGAATCAGGGAGAAATAGTTGGTAACTGTTACATAATTTTCAGAAACTAAGTGGTTATTTAACTCAGCAGCCTTCCCACAGAGACTGTGATTTTCATCCTTGTTTACCTTCATTTTATCCAAGTTACCTTTCTTAATTTAATATTTTATGCTACAATTAATTATTTAATACTTACCTTGAGGTAGAGACTTGTTTTTCAGTGGTAGTTGAAGGATATCTTGCATCTATATTTCAACTTTAAAATAAGAAAATACATGGTAAAAGAAATGAGACAATATGTAATAGATAAAAGCATTGTGAAGGCAAAGATTAGGTGTTGGAATATAGAATAAGGGATAAGAATTTACTTATAGTTAGAAGAGGCAGCCTGAGGAAGTGGTTTCTAACCTACAACACCCGAAGATGGTAACAAAGAAGCCACCTAACATGATTCCTGAAAGGTAGAAAACTTACGTGAAGCCCCAGGTGAGTGGAAAGGTTATGGTGTGTTCTAGCGGAAAAGATGCAGTGTGGTAGGATATAGAGAACAAAGATTATGGTTATGTGTTTGGTTTTCATTTTAAGATAAAGGCAAACCATTTAAAAACTTACAGAGGGCCATCTGGCATGTAATGTTAGAAGTGTAGCTAAAATGACCAGGACCTACTCCTGTAGTTTCTGATTCACAGAGTCTCAGTGGATATCTAAAAAATGGTATATGTAAGAGGTTCCCCTGGTAATTCTGATACCCACCTAAATGTGAGGTCTACTGACTTTTTATCTTTGCCTACTCACAAACCTTACATTCTCATGTGAACTTTCATAATATCCTGAGCTCTTCTTGTCCTTAAAAAATTTTATGACAGTGTTTTAGAATTTTAGGACCTTTTTACTTCTAATGGATATACTTGTCGATTTTTCTTTTTTACTATATAAGACCCCTCATTACCCAATACAGAAAAATAATGTTTGTTTTCTCATTTTCTTTCAGACTTTGATTTCACAACTGAGATCAACAAATTATCTTCAGAAAAAAGCAATTATGAAGTAAATTCATACCACCAGGAGACAACGAAAAGAAGTAAAACCTTCAACTTTATGCGGTTTATTTTCAGAAATGACCCACAGTGCAGAACTGAATTTGGGAGACAACAAGAACCTAAAGTGGGATATTTTAGTCAAGTGATATTCAGAAAACATATATCCCTTCTGCTACATCAGAGAATTCACTCTAGAGAGAAATATGAATGTAAGGACTATAGGAAGGGCTTTAGAAAATATTCCCACCTTGCTGAACATCCAAGGGACCACAGTGGTGTGAGACCTTATGAATGTAAGGAATGTGGAAAGGCCTTTATAGTTCTTCAGCATTTTATTAGACATAAAAAAATACACACTGATTTGAAACCCTATGAATGTAATGGATGTGAGAAGGCCTTTAGGTTTTATTCACAGCTTACTCAACATCAGATAATTCATACTGGTGTGAAACCCTATCAATGTAAGCAATGTGGGAAGGCCTTCAGACGTCATTCTCACCTTGCCGAGCATCAGAAAATTCATACTGGTTTGAAACCCTATGTATGTAAGGAATGTGCAGAAACTTTTAGATTGTACCGACATATGTGTCTACATCAGAAAATTCATCACGGTGTGAAACCCTATATATGTAAGGAATGTGGGAAGGCCTTTGGTCATCGTTCAAGTCTTTATCAACATAAGAAAATTCATTCTGGTGAGAAACCATATAAATGTAAACAATGTGGAAAGGCCTTTGTTCGCAGCTACTTACTTATTGAACATCAGAGAAGTCATACTGGTGAGAAGCCCCATGAATGTAAGGACTGTGGAAAGACCTTCAGTAGGGGCTCGAGCCTTCTTAAACACAAGAGAATTCATAGTAGTGAGAAACTCTATGATTGTAAGGAATGTGGAAAGGCTTTCTGTAGAGGCTCTCAACTTACACAGCATCAGAGAATTCATACTGGTGAGAAGCCACATGAATGCAAAGAATGTGGGAAGACTTTTAAACTTCATTCATACCTTATTCAACATCAGATAATTCATACAGATTTGAAACCATATGAATGTAAACAATGTGGGAAAGCCTTCAGTCGTGTTGGAGACCTTAAAACACATCAGTCAATTCATGCTGGGGAGAAACCCTATGAATGTCAGGAATGTGGAAAAGCCTTTAGACTTAATTCCCAACTGATTTATCATCAGACAGTTCATACTGGTTTGAAACCATATATATGTAAAGAATGTAAAAAGGCCTTTCGTACTATCTCAGGTCTTTCTCAGCATAAGAGAATTCATACTGGTGAAAAACCCTACGGATGTAAAGAATGTGGGAAGGCCTTTAATCGTAGTGATCGACTTGTTCAGCATCAGAGAATTCATACTGGTGTGAAACCACACAGATGTAAGGAATGTGGGAAGGCCTTTAGTCGTTGCTACCAACTTACTCAACATCAAAGATTTCACAGTGGTGAGAAACTCCTAATGTAATTAGAGTCCGAGAGTATTTAGCTATGGCACATCCTTGACCATTCACTATTCTTCTATCCAGTGATGTTATAGTAAAGATTAAATTATTTAACAAACTATAAACCCTTGGAAGGGTATTTGGCACATACTATTTGTTTACTAAATATCATTTTTATGATAAGCACTAATATTACTATAAATAAATTCATATGAAAGACCCCCTGAGCATATTTTTAAAAATATTTCTATCATTCATCCATATTTTACTTCAGATAATTCATTTTGGACAAAATCCCATAGAATATATTAAACAAGAAGCCCTTTTATTCAAAGCTCATCCCCATGAAGATTAATAATGGGAAAAAACCTTATGCCTTTGTTGAATGTTGACTCTAGCTATTGAAAAATGGAGAGTGGTTTGAAGTAATTTTCTTACAATAAATTCTATAATAAGATAACATACAATCCACATTACCTACAATTCAAAGAAATTTGAAATTAACAACTGGATAACCAAAAGACAGATGTTGACTTGGGATCAAATTTTCCTCAAGTTTTTGAAATTTTCAAATTTACATAAAAGGTAAAACAATGAAGGTTTGTTTGCCCTCTCCCTAGATTCAGTATATCTGAAATATCTCTATCTCATGAAAATGTATATATTTAGATGCACATATACTCACTACACATTGAATGTATAATATGTAAGTGATATATCTATATATTATTGAATTTGGGAGATAACAGGAACCTAAAGTGAACTATTTTAGTCAAGTGATATTCAGAAAACATATATCCCTTCTACATCAGATATATCATTTACATATGTAAAAGCACAGCAAAATAATATGTAATAGATATAGGTATGTGTTATATATTATATCATATATTTTGCTGTGCTTTTTGAATATTTTAGGTATAACTTCATCTCTAAGAAATCAACATATAACTCCTAGATTTAAGATAATTTACATGACCACTAAACCCTTATCAACTAAAAAAAATTTAACAGTAACCCTAAAATGCCCTATAATAATCAGTTCATTTACAAATTTCTCCAGTTGTTTAAAGAATGTCTTTTTAAAAAGTACTGACTGAATTAAGATTATACCTTTTATCTGATTAAGACTTTTTGAATCTCTTTTGGTTGAGAACTTGACCCTCCACCTTTTTCTTGTGACTTAGACATTTTGAAGACTCAGGAGAAGTAACCTATATAATGTTGTATATTCTGCATTTGTCCTATTATTTCTCAAGATGGGCTTAATTTATTTTTCTATCCTTTGTATTGTGAACTGGAGGTCATGTCTAGAAACTTGATTAGGTTTCAGATGAAACTTTTTTCACAAGACTACTTCATGGATATTATGTACTTAATATTGTAAGCTATCAGGTGGCATACAAGTAAAATTATGTTGATCTCTTGATTTACCAGTTCTATTGTATCAGTACATTTTTTTCTTTTCAATTAATAAGTAATCTATGGAAAATCACATTGGCACTCAACCTGGAAATTTAAATAGTCATATATTTTAAAGAAACTAAAACCAAAAAAAAAAAAAAAATCCCACAACTTTTCTATATACCCAAATATTTACCTTTTTCCATGCTCTTCCCAATGATCTGGATTTCCATCTAGTGTCATTTCCCTTCAGTTTGAAGACATTAATTTAGCATTTCTTGATGTGCACATCTGCTGGTGATGAATTTTCAGTTTCTTTTACTTGAAGGTATTTTTTCTTGCTGTAGAATTCTGGATTTAGTTTTTTATTTTTATAATAAAAAAAAAGATACTGTATCACTGACTTCTGGCCTCCATGGGTTATGATTAGAAGTCATTTGAATTATTTTTCCTCTATGTCATGTGTTATTTTTCTCTGGCTGCTTTCAAGATTTCCTCATTATCTTTGGTTATCAGCTAGCTGTTTGACTATAATGTGACTACGTATGGTTTTCTTTGTGTTAATCCTTTGTGAGATTCTCTGAGCCTCTGGAATATGTATGCTTATGACTTTTACTAGATTTCACAAATTTTGATCATTATAGCTTCAGATATTTTTTACGCTCTCCTTCCTTCTGAGATTACAAGTACTCATGTGTTAAATCTTTTGACATTATCCCACAGGTCGCTGGCTGTTATTATCTTCAGTCTTTGTTTTTCAGATTGGATAATTTCTATTGCTCTGTCTTCAAGTTCACTGATACTTTATCATCTCTATTTGATAGGCTTATCTGTCAGATGTCTAAGTTGAGATACTGTATTTTCAGTTGTAGAATTTTCATTTAATATTTTTTAGTTCCTGTTTCTTTACTGAGATTCCCTAACATATTTCACAATGCTTTTTATTCCAGTGAAATACTTTTTAATATATTGATTCATGCAACAAATATATGTAAAATTATTAACTAATGAAAAGCTTCACGTTCAACAAATGTTCTTTTAGCTAAGTCACACAAAAGCTTTTTCTGTTCTTGGAGTTTCAGATTTTGTTTGTTCACATGCAGTGTAATACTGGTGGGAAACCATAAATCACACTTAGGTTTTGATTATGAAATATTTGGCAAGTATTTTTTAAAGGGAGTTTTGAATTGGCAAAGAATACAAGATAACTATTGTTTTCTATTTCAACAGTTCCATAAAATGACTGTGATTCATAATACATGTATATACCAAACTAACTTTTCATATTGTGGAGCAAAGCAGTTAGGGAGACATCAGTCTTTTGCCTTAAAATTTCAAGGAATCCACATTTTTAAACTAATATAGCTGGAGCACCATCTATCGTAATCGAAACAAATTTCTTTCATACCTATTGGAAATTTTTTTTTGACATATATAAAAAATGTTTTAAATCTATGCTATTAATCTGATTTGGGCTGCAAATTGACAGCCTTTCCTTTTGATTTGCAAGTCTTGAGACAAAATATATCCAGGGTATTAACTGGAGTATTATCTATCTCATATTGTACAACTAATCTAAAACTAGAGTATAGTAGCTTTTCTGATTTTGAATTAATCTTTAATATTGTTAGAAAGATCCTGTATTTCACAGGCAGTTATTTGGCAGCTTAAATGAAGTTTTTTTCACGTTTTATAAAATAGAATTTTTAGTCTTTTTTCATAATATCTTAACAAAGTTTCTAAAACTAAAGTAGTATTTATCTTATCTCTCCACCTAAAATTTGATCTTTTTTTGTATTCAGAAAATCACCTTTTTCTTTCTTATCACTCATTGCAATTTGTAATGTTATGCTTACTTATATTTGGATTATTCAATGTCAAATAAAATGTCTTTTACAGCAAGAGTTTCGACTGTCCGGTTGTTAATCTATAGCAGGAGTCAGAAAACTAGAGTTCATGGGCCAAACCTGGCTACCATCTGTTTTTATATGGCTATGGCCAATGAGCAAATATAAGAATTACATTTTTTAATGGTTGATAAAAATTAAAGGACATAAAACACTTTGTGACAGTTGAAAATTATGGGTTTCAAATGTTTTTGATATACTCAACCATTTACAAACTATCTATGACTTCTTTCATGCTACAACCTCAAGAGTTCAGTAGCTGTGCCAGAGAACCTGTGACCCACAAATTCTTAAAACATTGACTGGCTGTCAGGCCATTTACAGAAAAAACATTTCTTAACTCCTGCTCTATACTCAGTACAGAGAATGCCTGGGAGATGAAATCTAGTGGTTCAAATTTGTTGTATCACTTAGACATCAGGCATTTACTTAAAGAGCTGGATTTTTTAAAGCAATCACTTTCAGCAATGGGAAAACAAGAGGCCCCTGGGGGCTAATAGGCAAAGGGAATTCCTGGCTGCTGAAAAGTCAAGTTTACCTCAGCTGTCAGGCTATAAAAATAGACTAGTATCATCAGCGGGTGAGGTGAATAGCTTGTGGAGTCAATAGAGCAAATGGCCGATGAAAATGTCAGCACGGGACATGAGTGTTAGTTGCTGATGCTGTACCTCCACAGGTTCTGTGCAGAAGCTGTTCAAGCTCTCTCTGCTCCACTCTCAAGACACCGTTTCCGCATATCACAGGAACATTTCTCTACAAAGTACTTTGGTCTCTCTGGGTTTTCTCATTAAGCACTAGTTAATAATTGCTTGTTACTATTTTCCCTAAGCCAAAAGTTTCTCAGAGATATTCTTAATTTCCCCTGCAGGCACTGTCATCACTACCAGTGACATTATAGTGGCCACGCTGGTAGGAAATGAGATCATGGTGTCTCCAAACTATAACTCAGGGTCAGGTTTGTTCTCACACCCTCAGGCACAAACCCTGGCAGTAACAGGCTCACCATCCAAGTATCAGAGGTCTGCTGGCGTGTGAATCTTTTTCTCCATTTTAATATGTCATAAAAAGTGGCTCTGTGGCCTCAGGAATCTTAAAAAGCCTTTTATTTAATCTCAAGATTATAGAGAAATTGATAACTCTCTTGATGGTTGTAATAGAGCCTGTGTTTTTACTATATTAAATGTTTTCTTCTTCCCCCTTCCTTTTTGCTCCTGGGCTTTCTGAAACTTCCTGCCTACTCTTTTCTACTTTTAGACTTGCCAGAATTCTCTCTTTTCTCCATAATTGAACCTTCCAACCTTTTAAACCTTTGCCTTAAACTGGGGACCACAGTACCTCTATTGCAGGAATGTTATGAGAACTATGTAAAATCACAGGCACATCTATCTGACTTTGAGCATAGACATAGAAAATGTGGTTTCATTTTTTCTTGTTTTCTCTGTGGTCAAAATTGGCTTTGGAAAAAAATTCATAGAGTTACCCCTTTGGACTATGTGAAGATCTAAACCCTATTCTTCTACTCAGGGTCTGTTGTAAGAGAAGCCTGCGGCCCTGGCAAGATGCCAGGTGCTTGGAGCAACAAGGACATCAGAAGCAGATGTGGACTTGCACACAAGGACACATTGCAGGGAGGGCGCACACACCCAACCGATTCTGGGACTTCTTGCTCTAGGGACTAAAAAAAGATACTTGGGAAGAAATGGCTGAGAACACGGGGGTGGCCTTGAGGCTGAATCTGGGAGTTGGCTGTAGCTTGTATTTACTAACCTGATAGTAACTATTTATAAATTAAAACCAGCATTGTGGGAAAACTGAAAAAAAACCATGGAGACAGGGGTGGGGGATGCTAGCATTGCCATTCCTCTTCTCCCTTATCCATGTTAGTTAAACATTTCCAGACTCCGACTCTTCTTCCAAACCGTCTCTGCAACAGGGGTCTTTCTAGATCACAGGAAAGAGATGTAATTGATTCTGAGTCTTAAGGAGAGATGTATTAAATTTATTTCCCAGAACCAATAATGGATAAAACCCCACCCATTGACCACATCATTAGTGCTGAGCCTGAGTCATAAAATGGGCTCCTATTTCTTTCATTTTCTTCTATCTTATCACTTTATAAGACTTGTTTTGTCAACCCAAACCTGTGACTGGTGAGCTTCAGTAAATTCCTGGCTGATTGTTTCCCAGCCTTCAGCTCCTTTGTGCTCATCAGCTGTAATACTCAAATCTCCAGAACTTAGTTGTGTTAGAACAAAACTCTCCCAATAGTCCCTTTACAAACAGCTCTCATTCATTAAAAAAATTTAATCACTCAATATTTGACCACTATGTGTTTAACTGTAGACTTATCTAAAACTTATCCCGGTTATTTTTTAATGTGAGATCTTAGTCGTGATTTAATTTTTTCTAAATGCATATTTTCTCATTTTTTCTCTTCAAATATTGTCTTCCAGTGCAGGAAATATGTTTTCCTCTGTGCAGAAACTACAAAACTCAAGAAAAAATGACCTACTTATATTGATTAGCATTACCCTTATGAATTGCAGGGCCTATTTAATAACTCTAATGCAAAATTCACCTGATACAATTAGCATCCTAACACATGTGATTTGAATCAGGTTTTTAAGGCCTCGCCTTTTAATATGAACAGATAAGTAAGGATCAGGAAGCACTTGAACAACTATTCTATTCTGAAAGGTAAAAATAAAAACAGAGGAAAGTTACATGAGGGAAACAGAGCATATGAAGGAAGCAGAATGAAATTCAAAATTTATAATATTGTCCAATAGATATGAGACAATTTGCATCCATGAAGCAAGTATAGAATGCTATTAATATGAATGCTAGAAGAATAAAAACAGTTTTTGGGAATTAGAAAAATGATGGAAGAAGTAAAAGATTCAGTAGAATGATTGGAACATAATATGGAGAAAACCCCAGAAAAGGGTGTGAAAGTAGAAAGCAGGAAAGAAACATTAGAAAAATAGCAAAACTTTCCTGTAAATGATACTAACTGATATCCCTAGAAGAGAGAAATATAAGTAGTATCAAAGAAACTAAGAGAAAATTTCTTAGAGCTGAAACATATTCATTTATAGACTGAAAAGACCCGTTAATCTAATGAGAAGTAAAATAAGTCTACCTCTACATATCAAAAAATTGGGGAGAAAAAGTATTTTTAAGGCTTCCAGGAAAAAAAAAAGTCATATGGGAAGGGAGAAAAATCATAGATGTGAGGCTTTTCAACAACTAAAAGACAACACAGCAATGTTTTCAAACTTCTGCAATATGTTTTCCAAACTCATTGGAAACTATTGATTAGGGATGATTTAGTGTATTTTCAGAATACACTATATAACAGTCAAACTATTAATTAGGGATGATTTAGTGTATTTTCAGAATAGCAAGATCTCAAAACTTTCTCTTATTTATTGCTTTTCTAGAAATTCTGGAAAGTGTTCTACATTAAGAAAGTAGATGGGAAAAAGTAAAAATATGAGATCCAGGAACTGGAATTTGGTGTATGAGAAATGCTAATAAGACTCTTTTAATGATGGAGAAGGGAAACCCATGTATGACATCTGGGTTTATATAGAGATTACAGTCCAGATGCATGCCTGTTGGATATTTCCAAAATGAAACTATAACAGAATTCCTGATGTGGCCTCTCAAGAATTCAGTAATGAACAGTAAATAATTTTTATACAGAAAAGAAATATTAAAAATGAGCTAATATTGTGCTTGCTTCAGCCGCATGTATGCTAAAATTGGAATGATACAGAGATTAGCATGCCCCCTGCACAAGGATGGCATGCAAATTTGTAAAGCATTCCATATTTTTGGACAGTGAACTGGTGGTTACCAGAGAGAAAGTGGGGAGGAGGGAGGTAGACATGCATAAAGAGGGTCAAATATTTGGTGACAGAAGGAAATTTAACTTTGGGTGGTGAACATACAATGCAATATACATAGGACATATTATTGTACACTTTAAATCTATTTAATTTGTCACCCCAATAATTTTAATTAAAAAATAAAAAATAAATTTTTTAAATGCCTACAGCACCTGGTATTCCAAGGTGGTCTCCCATCCAAGTACTAACTAGGCCCGACCCTGCTTAGCTTCCGAGATCAGATGAGATTGGGCACGTTCAAGGTGGCATGACCATTAGGACATATTATTGTACACTTTAAATCTATTTAATTTGTCACCCCAATAATTTTAATTAAAAAATAAAAAATAAATTTTTTAAATGCCTACAGCACCTGGTATTCCAAGGTGGTCTCCCATCCAAGTACTAACTAGGCCCGACCCTGCTTAGCTCCCGAGATCAGATGAGATCGGGCACGTTCAGGGTGGCATGACCACAGGCAATAAAAAAATAAAATTTTAAAAAAGAGAAAAATAAGCTTATATTAAATTCAAAATTCAAAATAAAAATAAAGTGGGTAGGAGACTGGAAATACAACATATTAACTCATGGCACTTAGAAATTATTTATAATGTAAAAATGAATATTGAACAAAAAATGAGTAAGTTATTGCAGAGAGTTTGTTATTTGGTGGTCAAATGCATCTCATAGAACAGCTTACATAGCTAGGATTTATGAAGTAAACTGAGAACTGGTAAGAGGTGAGGTAAGACAGGCATAGGAGGGCAGATCAGGTACCCTTAGCAGTCCTATGACATAGTTATACTATCGTTCTCTATTATAGATGCTAAAGATGAAGTGATCAAGAGATTAAGTAAACTAGTAAGGGGTGATGCTTTATCCATCTTGGGAACCCACTTATTCTGAGTCAATGCTCTCAACCACTGCCCTATTTCATATGGTGGAAATTCCAGAATTAACAAATAAGGGTTGATTTCCTCATACTACACTATTACCAGAGCTCAATTATATCCAGGATATAAAATTATTCTAAATTGCATCCTCATAAAGATTATGTTCCTCAGTGCATTTAACACCATCTCAGTTCTCGTGTATTTTCTTTCTCTAAATATGAGGAATTCATTTTGATACTGAGCGCATGGTTTTAGTCTCTAAACGAGGCAGAGGTATTCCACCTCCATTTAAGGTCTTCAACATAAATTAATCCACTTGCTCCTTTATTCCTTTGACAAATATTTATTGCGCATCTTCACTGAGCTATGCATTTCTCTGAATACTGGAGATACAACGATCATAAGGGAGACATGTTCCCTGATTTTGTGGAACTTATATTCAAGAGTGAGAAGAGACAATCAACATATAAACAAATAATTAAAGAAAGTCACTTGGTGTTATGTGCAATAAGGAAGAAATGTGAAGCAGTGTCACTGACATAGGGTGCGGCCAGTCAAGACTGGGTGGTCAAGGAAGGCATGTGCAACCAGGTAGCATTTGGGCAGAGACTTGAATTATAAGAAGTCTTGTGAAGAGCTGAGGAGGTGCATTCCAACAGTGTCCCGTAATAGCTTGCCATTTTAAGGAACGAAAAGCCTGTATCCTGGACGGAGTGTGGTGGGCCATGGCAGGGAAATGAGAGGTAATCATAGGAATAATGTGAGTCACTTAGTCAAGGTCACGTAGCACCCGCTAACAAGTGTATAATTCCAAATGCGATTGGAAGACTTTGGAAGGGCTTATTGTTAGAGACCCTCAAATAACAAGAGATAGTGCATAGTTGTAAAAACAGCTTATTAATATTTGCTTCTATCTCATCATGAGGTGTAAAACTCCAAGTTTTATGTCCCGAAACAAAATCCACTGACACTCTCTCTGGAATACAAGGCATGGAGGAGCCATTGTTTCTGTGGCAAACTCCACATGATCTGACCACTATACAGCTACTTATTTATCCTCATCTTGGCAAACCCACTTATTCTAGAAGCTCCTTGAGTCCCAGGGAGCAAGAGCATTGTTAACTCCCAATTCTCATCTTCATCCCATTGCTTTATAAAGATACTGAAACAGAGTCAGAAAGAGGGATATTTCAAATCCTTTTAAAATTATTTTCCAGTTGGAATAAAAAATGCAAGTGTATAGAGACAGAAAGACTCAGACTTTGTCAGAGAACCTTCTGTTGTGTGGAGGCAGGAAAGGGTGTGAAAGGGAAACAGACACTCATCACTGCTAAATGCCATTTAGCAATCTTGCAAAGTAAATGTACAATCTTGCAAAGTAAATGAAGTGTAAAAGTACAGTATTTCCTGGTCCACACATCATTGCACTTCTTTTATGGGAAGTCTGATTCCTTTATGATTTTTCCCTTGGACACTGGAGAATTTCCCACTAGGAGAGACTTCTAGTTGAGCCTGAATCTCAGTTCAACACAGGGCTCCTGGCTTTGATTGTTTCCGTCCCTGTACAGCCCTCTCCTGTTTGCTGGGTGAATATGTCAAACCAAATATTAACCTACAAATCTACAGAAATTAAGGATATGATTCTTTTTTAAGACATGACCTCCAAGTTTTTATAAGATAAGCCCCTGAAGCAGATGGGGAACTCTTTTAATGACATCCCAAGCGGGAATGTAGAAAGAATACATAAGCATCGTGCCCATATTTGCATCCAAGAACGCTTTGCCTTGCTTTTAGTTTGGTAAGCTATACCACTGAAATAGAATGGTGAGGCACAAACAGGTTCTGTCTGCTGTGTGAATGGCCACCCAAAAATTCACTGTGAAAAATTAGAGTAGGCTACTCTGACTTTTGGGGAAAAAGAACTTTACAAGGTTGGACCAGTAATATTCCTCTTCCCCACAGCTATAAAAAAATCAAATAAAAAAACTCATACGAAATGTTCTTATAGGCTTTAATACTTCAGAATTTTTGCTGTATTTTTGAAGTAAACATTAACTTCTGAACAGTCTATAACTATGTTTTGTGGTTTTAATAACATGTAATTTAAATTGTCATGTTTTGTGAAACGTACACATATTTGCAAATTTTTGTTAAAATAAAGGCTCACTAGTTTTTTCCTTATACACGAAAAGTTAATGAAATCTGTGAATCTGCTAGATGTCTTATTTAAACAAAACCTATGTGAGTCTGTGACTAATTTAAAGTAATACCAGTGATTATTTCAGAAATTATCTGTGACCCATTTTAGCAATTAAGAGCAGACATAACATTGTTGGCTAACGGGAAATCTTTCCTCACTCCTAAGATTCACAGGATATGATCTCTCCTTCTTTCTCTGGATGTTGTCATGTCTGTATAGAATATCTAGAAACCTGTCAACCATCATGGTACCAGCCAACACTGGGGGACGCAGAGTGGAAAATGGAAGAGAATCTGGGACTGAATATTTCATTTTGCTGGTGAATCAAAAATCTCTGGAGCCCACTTTCCCTCTGAAAGCCCATTATATGACTCAATGTATTTTCTCATTGTGTCCCCCAGTGTGGTATTTAATTTCTGCTAAGTGCACCCAAACTGTATCAAACAACTAAGGGTCATGGTTCAGAGTGGGAGCTGGAGATGCAGAGATAAAGCTGATTCCATCACAGCCATCAACCAGCTCACTGTCTAGTGGAGAATGCACACACGTGCACACACACACACACACACACGCACGCACAAGGGTCATGGCCTCTGTAGAACTTATATTCAAGTACCATTATTACACGTGCGCGCGCACACACACACACACACACATATGCACGCACAAGGGTCATGGCCTCTGTAGAACTTACATTCAAGTACCATTACACTATATTAAATGACTTATAGTCATTTCACAACAGATGCTAAATGTTGTCCAAGTAGTACAGATGTTTTATGAAGCTGGACACATCTAGTGCATCCCATGTCAGGAGCAAGGAGTGAAGAGAGATTGCAAGAATATTCAAATAGCCGATAAACAATCAGAAAATTGGAAATATAAATCAAAATCATCACAGACACCACTATATATCAACCAGAGTAGCAAAATAAATTTTTTAACTGATGCCGAGTACTGACAAGGATTTGGAGAAAGCAGAACATGCACGCATTGCTGGCGGGAGTGCCAGTTTGAATATGTTTGTAAATCTATTTAGAAGAATTAAACTTACTGAAGTTGAACACGGGCATATCCATGACCAAACCCCAGCAATTCCACTTTCAGTATATACAGAAAAAAACGTGTACATGTACAAGACATGTACAAGTATGATCATAACAGTCCTATATGGAGCTCTGACTTCCCAACAAAATATAATGGATTTTCAAGGAAGGGCTATGTTAGAATGCTCCTTTTATGTGGATCTTGGCTGGTGCTACATGGCTATGGAGCCTCTTTAAAGAAATTATTCTAGGCACTCACTGAATCTGTTGTGTTCAAACTGGAAATTCACAGAAAGAAAACCAACAGGTGAAACTAGAAAAGTGATTAAAGATATCCAATTCAAAACAAAATAACCCAATACAGTCATACAATTTTAAAGAGGCAGTTACAATAGGAAAACAAAAATATTTTTAAAAAACTATTAATCTCACCCACAAAATGTAAAAATGTTAAATAAAATAGTAGCAAATGAAATCAAGTAGTGCATCAAAAAATAACGTATTAATAACTAACCTGGATATATCCAGAAATGAGAAGAAGTCCACCTGTCTGTATAAATGACCACAGTTAATAAATTAAATGCTATATAATCACAGAAGATAATGAAATGGCTTTTGATAAAACTCAGGGATCATTTCAACTTAAGACGCAACAAAGACTTTTACTCATAAATAACAGGAGACATTAGAAGGCAACAATTTGAAAGCATGATGCACTGCCATTCCATTGTAGCTAACAACCAGACTTGGTGACTAAAATGTCCAACTTTAGTCTCTTTCAGTTATGACAGCATTTCCCAATGCAGTCTCGCATCTCTAAGTTGGAAAAGTTTGAGATACACCAGTTTAAACAAAGTTGAACAATTTTCTCCAATAGAATAGTCTTTTGATAAGCTGGTAAGGTGCTTCTGGTTATTGTGGGAATTTAGCAGATGCTACTTCATAAGTTCCTATAACCAAAGATTCTCTCATTTTTTAAGTACTATTAAGCACCAGTTACTTCTGAGACATGATTTCGGAAATGCTGGTATAAGGCACTATCTCCTTATCTCCTAGTTAACATTCAAATATGGTACCCAGGAGGAAAGTCTGATTAGCAATGCTTTATTTTATTAAAACATTCAAAGTACTCTGCTTTGTTACAGTTGATTATTAAAATTGCAACAGTGTGAAACAATGCTCTCAGTCACTAAATAGTGAATAACTGAACAGTAATACGGGTGGCCTATCTGCACAAAATGGACAAAAGAGGTGACATACTGATTAAAACAATGACTGAGATGAACCAGATATTTGTTAATACAGGTTTCGATGGAACTGACACTTTTGAAGATGAATAATTTTTAAAGTGCTGAATTCTAACTGTGAATATATAAACATTCTTATTTCATTGTAACTAATGTTTTGATGCTGGCACTAAATCTTGACAGCTACCTGGTTGAAAGTGATCGTGAGAATCCAAATATCAAGTCTTTTTTTAGAATTGATTAAATCTTAGTGTATATATGTGATTTCCTACTCTAAAAGCCATATGTCTAAAATAAACTATGGGAATGAATTATATATGCCAATTCAATTTTACTGTCAGTCTATATTTATATTTAAACCAGAAGAGTTTGAATCTGGATATTCCATAGGGGTTATTTCTATTGCACGATTCTTATATTTGAATTGTTTGCTGATGTTCTCATTAGAATTTTTATATTTACCTAAGTTCAGAAGCTATCTGCATTCAGTTTTGGGCCTAGATTTACGCCATCCAGTTAAGATGAGCTGGTAAAACATTTTGTAATTACTTTCACCTTGAAATTTTTCCCTAATGGGCTAAAGATTTCCAAGTGCTATTTATAAAAGGAAGCTCTTGGACCAAAAATTTCAAACTTTTATTGGCCCAAATATTTTTAAATATATTGTAATACCTTAAATTTAAAAAATTTCCTTCCCTATGTATAACTACATTTCCTTTCTTATTCATAATTCTATAATGTTGCCATCTTTCTTGATTTTTCCTTGTTCAGGTTTACCAAAGTCTCATTGACGTAAAAGGACTTTTCACAGAAAAATATTGACTGAAGGCTACTGCTTTAAATTCTTAACCATTAGTCTCAAATTTTAGTTGTAATAATTGCTTTTGACTCTTGATTTAGGGCTTCCCCCCACCTCCCCGCCGGTTTCATAGTTCATTGTGACAGGGACCATGGAGATAACTGGGGAAAACAAGGCATAGTTCTGGCTCTCCCTCTGGGTCATAGTCTTCCACTGAGTAGAGCTTCGGCTACATCCTACAAGGTCCAATACACAATCATTTCATTATCATTCTTTCTCTATAATTGTTCTTTCTCTTTAATCTATAACTTACACATATACACAATTATACATGTCCAAAAATAGCTGACCAAGGTTCATCAATCTCACTAGTTGCATAATGGATCTCTAAATTAGAGAGCTCTAAAAGTCACCATCTTAATCAAGTGATCAAATTTAGCATTGGAGATAGTGAGCAAGTAGATATTATGTGCTCCTGATGTGTTGCAATATGAAGTGCACATGACCACCTATGAAGTGTTCTGGCAAAAAATGTTTAAGCCTCTAGCTCTAACTGGACATTATAAAAGATATGAAGGATAGAGGCACAAATTAAATTTCACCATGGGGGAAGAAACCTAGAATGTATGGCATTCTACAAAAAGCTTTCCTGAACTATTCGAAAAGTCTGTTCAAGCCTAAAATCTAGAGAATGGCAACCAAATGCAATGCATAAATATAGAAAAGATGCTGGTTAGAAAATAAACAGCAATGGGATAGAGTCTTGGGAGCACTGAGAAATAGGAGTGAATATAAAAGAATATTGCAGAATTGTTGATAATTTTCTTGTGTGACCATGGTATTAAATAAGATTTTTCTTCTTAAGAGGTGCATGCTAATGTATTCAGGAATTAACAACTGTGATTTCTACACCTTAAGTCAAATGGTACATGAGTATATATACACATGCATACATGTATGTTCAGAGAGAAAGTGAATATGGCCAAATGTTAACAATGATTGATTCTAGATAGTATACTCATTATACTATTCTTTAAACTTTTCTCAATGTCTAAAAATTGTCATAACAAAATTTTAGGAAAGAATCCCCAAATGGATATTTTCTTTTTTGTTCTTTAAAATTTTTAATTTATCTTGAAATGTGAACAGAGAATTTTAATTATGGCCTACCTGTCCGTTGGAATTCATTACAGGCAAACTGCTTCACACCTCTCCCTGGTTCTTTAACAGATATACTCCCAACATCTTAACACTTGCTAAGTCCACACTTCTTTTCAGCCTTAATATTTCATGCAGCTTAAGGGATTAATTCTGAATTAAAACCCTCTCAAGTTCTTTATGTTTTACCAAAATGTATCCAGAATGAATTATCTGAAATTCAAATGAATGACTGGTTATAAAAAGCTTTTCTAAACTCATTATACAAATGGGCGTTCCTCTCCTAAGAATTCACTAGTAGTAATAATAAGAACAATAGCTAATATGTATTGAGCATAGGCTACATACCAGATACTCTTCCAAGGACCTGATGCATACTAAATCCTTTCAGTCTCAACAATAGCATTATCAATCACCATCACCAGCATTTTAAAGATGATGCCCAGAGGAGATAAGCATTTTGCCCAACATTCCACATGAAGAAAGGAGGTGAAATGGTGATGACAGCAAGTATAGTTTGTGCCATGGATAAGGAGCTTCCTACCTTTGTTACATTAACAGTAAGTCTCTGCGATGAATTTGCTGAAGTTTAACAAAGATTGAATAGTGTTAGAAGGATTCTACACATTTATTAAATGAACATACTTGGTATAAATTCTCTACGCTTTGATGGGCAGGAGGAAGTTGTGATTTCCACATTAGCCAATCTTCCTATAGTATGAATATTCTGCTATTCTAATTAGAGAGGTGACAAGTGAAGGATTTCTTATTCTAATTAAATCATATCATGACTTGCCTCATGCATTTAAAAGTGTGAATGGTGTCTCAAATTATTTATGGGGAAGGGTAAACTTTTGTTTTTAATTTCCAATCATTCCTATCATGACTGATTGATACTTTTATAAAATATAATAATAATGTTATGGCAATAACAAATTGCTCTAAAAGTTTACAAACATTTACTCTCATTTTCTGCCTTTATCTTATGATGGACAGGTAACAATTTTAGGGACTGGCACTAGTGTCTAGACAAGTTCGAGTAGCACTTGTCTAAAGGCATTCCTATATTCTGATCCAAAGGGTTTCTCGTTTGGATGAATTCTCTAAGATGTTCTCTAAGATGTATTCTAAGATGTTTACCACATCTACAAGCCTTCTCACATTCCTTAAATTCATAGGACTTTACAGCAGTATGAGTTCTCTGATGTGCAGAGCAAGAACGGAATTAAATGTAGGTTCTTCCCACATTCCCTAAAGTGTTTCTAATGAGTATAAATTCTCCAATGTTTACCAGACTTTGTGCTGTAAAGATCTTCACTTATTCCTTTCATTTAAATGACTTCACGTAAGTATAAATTGATGTTCAATAAGATCATGCAGAAATCTAAAGGCTTTTTCATATTCCTTATGTTCAAAATATTTCTAACTAGTATGAATTCTCTGGTATCAAGTAAATTGTCCATACACAGGTAAGGCTTTTGCACATTCCCTACATTCATTAGGTTTCTCAAGATTTCTCTTCTTGTTGAGTAAGCTGTCCGTATGCAGGAAAAAAAAATGTTCACATCTCTTCAATCATAAGGTTTCACCAGTATCAACTGACTCATTTGAGTAAGATGTCCAAATGAAGGCTTCCCCACAGCCTTTATATTTATAGGATTTATCACTACTACTAGTTCTCTCATGCTGAACAAGGCTCGAGCCACGAGTAAAAGTCTCCCCAAATTCCTTATATTGATAAGGCTTTTCACCAGTATGAAATCTCTGGTGAACACTAAGTTGACAGCCATTACTAAAAGCCTTCCCACATTCTTTACAATCATAGGATTTCTCACCTGTGTGGGCTCTTTCATGTTTAACAAGGCTTGAACCCCAACTGAAGGCTTTCCCACATTCCTTACATTTAAAAGGTTTCTCACCGGTATGGATTTTCTGATGTTGAGTAAGGTGATAGCCACGACTAAAAGCTTTTCCACATTCTTTACATTCATAGGGTTTCTCACCAGTATGAATTCTCTCATGTTGAGCAAGACTTGAGCCACAATTAAAAGCCTTCCCACATTTCTTACATTCATATGGCTTCTCACCAGTATGAAATATCTGATGTCGAGTAAGTTGATACCCACTGCCGAAGGCCTTCCCACATTCTTTACAATCATAGGATTTCTCACCAGTATGGACTCTTTCATGTTTAACAAGGCTTGAACCCCAACTGAAGGCTTTCCCACATTCCTTACATTCAAAAGGTTTCTCACCAGTATGGATTTTCTGATGTTGAGTAAGGTGATAGCCACGACTAAAGGCCTTTCCACATTCTTTACATTCATAGGGTTTCTCACCAGTATGAATTCTTTCATGCTGAACAAGACTTGAGCCACAGTTAAAGGTCTTCCCACATTCCTTACATTCGTAGGGCTTCTTGCCAGTATGAAATATGTGGTGTCGAGTAAGTTGATAGCCCCAACAAAAAGCCTTTCCACATATTTTACATTCATAAGGTTTCTTCCCGGTATGGATTTTCTGATGCTGAGTAAGTTGATAGCCACGACTGAAGGCCTTCCCACATTCTTTACATTTATAAGGTTTCTCACCTGAATGAATTATCTCATGTTTAGCAAGGCTTGAGCCCCAAAAAAAGGCCTTCCCACATTCTTTACATTCATAAGATTTCACACCAATATGAATTTTCTGATGTTGAGTGAGGTGATAGCCACGACTAAAAGCCTTCCCACATTCTTTACATTCATAGGGTTTCTCACCAGTATGGATTCTCTCATGTTTAACAAGACTTGATCCCCAACTAAAGGTCTTCCCACATTCCTTACATCTGTAGGGTTTCTCACCAGTATGAAATCTCTGGTGCACAGTGAGTTGATAGGCACTAAAAAAGTCCTTCCCACATTCTTTACATTCAAAGTGTTTTTCAGCTGTATGAGTTCTCTCATGTTGAACAAGTTTTGAACCATGACTACAAACCTTTCCACATTCCTTACAAACATAGGGTTTCTGTGGATTATAAATTCTTTGGTGCGTAGTAAGAGATTTATTTTTTCTATAAGTGGGCATTTCTTCATAGCCAATTATCATTTGACTGAAGTATTCCTCTTGATGTCCCTGTAGTTCCTCAAATTTGCTTTTGCACTTCCAATTATTTTTGAAAACAGATGCCTCAAGGCCAAGGGTTTTCTTTCCTTCCTTTATCTCCCACTGGGAAAAATTTATTTCAAAAATGTCCTTTCCCAAAAATGTATTTTTGGTTTCATATGTTGACTCCAGATCTGAAGGAAAATAAGAAAACCACACATTTTATTTCCTCTACCAGAAAAATTCCCTCTGTAGTAAAAATAAAAGACAAATTGAAAATAATACCCATAAGTGAACTGGATTAGTAGACTTACTGAACTCCTAAGCATCAAGTCTCTCCTGAACTTTGATCTTTCAGCTCTCATGATCTTAGTTCTGATTTGACAGTTTTCTGAAGGATCTGGCAAAGATTACAAGTCCCTCATCTTCCTGTGTTGATGGTCCCTTAAACCAAAAATGTGCCCTTCCATCAATCAAGCCCTTCTGTGCCCAGATGTGGTTCCAGCTGAACTTTTAATGACTGTGTAGGCTGGCATGATGAACTGGAATCTAGAAAATCGCCACACTCAAAAAACAAATTCATTAAGCTAGGTAATTCATCCTCAAAGGAATTCTTCTGAGTGATTGGTGCTGGGCTATAAAGCAGACAAAATCCTACAGTTCGAGCAGTTATTAAGTTCTAAGGCTCCGCTGGAGTTCAAACAAGAAATGAAACAAAACTAACTAAAGCTATAATATAACTTCTACCCAGCTCAAATCCTGATACAAAGAGGTTAGCCCATCAGTGGTCATGTGGAAGTTTAAGGCAAAGAAAGATTTTTAAACCTAACTTGAACCCGGAAACTGAAACTAATGAAAGTTATAACCTAGTTCCAATTCAGCTCCATGCTTAGAGTGTAGTTTTGTACAACTTAACATCAATAAATAGTTCAATAAATCTGAATTGCCACACAAGGGCTTGCGTTATAATTACCTGGTACTTGAATGTTTGTAAAAGGCTTAACAATGTTGGTAAATAAATATGGGTTTAACTTCATTTTAGATGTTTTAAATAAAACCATTGAAGACCCAAACGAGGTTTTATTTATATAGGTTATATCTTTTGATATTTACCATATTAGAAATTAAAACTGAAAAATTTAAAGATTAATTCATTTTAAAATAATAAATCATCAAATGTTAATATTTTATGAAAAATAATTATATTTTGAAAAACAAAAAATATTTTTAATCCTTTCCAAATCTCCTTAATATCTGGTTTAACAGAAGACAACGGGATTCTCATATCTGCTTCTGTATTCAGTCTGTGGCAGTGCTCTTTTGAGTTGAAGTAGATGAAGAAAATCCAAGCTCCCAGATATGTAACTGTAAGATGGTAGAATATTTTATGAACCCATTCAAATAATCATGAATGTTATTCTTTGATACTACAGTAAAATTTGTGAAGTGGAATTTCTTAAAGGTTAGTTGCAATGTGGAATTAAAATCCACTGCACTTTAGATGATCTTTTTCCATGCATAATTTTGGTCATTTGAACAATAATGATTGAGTTATGCAAATTTTGAGATGTTGACATATTTCATTATATAATATCAAAACAATCACGTTAATATTCTCCATCTCATCATTTAAAAAAAACCCTATGTACTGAGAAGCTGTAGAGCTCAAAATGGTAGATTTGAGTTTCATACAATTCTAATTTTTACTTGAAAGTATGAAGTCTATCATTGGCAAAAATACTGTTAGTTGCTCTTGAAATGACAGGCTCACTTGCAAGAAAATGTTTTCCAACTATCAGTCATTCTTTCAATAAAAATAAAACGGTGTTAGATTAAAAAAGGAGCTAGTTTAACTGGTAATTAAACTTCACAAGTGGTTTTCCTCAAGGCAACCATCACACTTCGGTATAGGAGAAGAGCTTAATGAATACTTCCCATATTGTCACATAGACTATTTACTAAATGCACACTTAAGAGTCGAGATTTAATCAAATAACGTCCAGAGGAGGGGGTTTCAGGACTGTCTCATGTGGGGAGTCAGAATGCAAGCACGGTAAGGACAAGTACCTGTGTGTAAGTGTATGGGTTGCCATAGCCCGAGAGGGATGAGAAGGGCAATTGCATGATCAAGGTAGTAGTGGTGATGGTAATAAAAGGTTGGTTACATGTAGATAGTTAAATCAAGTAAACATATTAAGGACAACGGAAGCCAGGTTTTTCACTGCCAGAGAAGGGATTTAGAAATATGAAGAGTGAATAAGCTGAAATGAAACCTGTAGTGGTAAACTGCAATTGGAGATATCTGTGTGGACTCAAGGTTATCAATATATAAACGTAAATATGCGTGCATATATATGTATGTGTATACGGAAGTATACCTTAGTTCTTCCACTCCCGGGAGCGGCCATCCCACAGTAGCAATGAGCACACTTAGTACCTAGATTTTGGCTTCTAAATAGTGTTCTTGACTAAAAAGAACGAGGGCACCTTGAAGAAATGGCTGACTTCAGGGGTGGAAAGTACAAGATGAGCCTGAAATGTGTTATCGGAAAATAAGGAGGTGCTTAAAGAGTGATGGAGACGTGCCAAAGGATACAGATGCCATCACGACAAGATTCCCAATGGTCAAATCTGGGGCAAGTTCAAATATTTTTGAGCTTCAAAATAAATAACGAGAACACATTACAACCCACCGACTAGAAATCCAATACATGAAGAAACTGACAGTTTGAAGAGGAATGTGATATTTAGTAGTCTCAGTTCCTCCTCAAAAAATACTCATTAAAGGAAAAAAGATTAACTTTACAGAGGGAGCCAGCAGACACCATCCCAATCAATTGCTCAAAGCAAGCATCAGCATTAATGACGAATCATTTGCACTACCAGACAGAATGCAAGAATGCAGTATCGACTCTGTGATATTTCTGCCAAAGAAGCATAATCTAAATCTAATCATGAGGAAATAGCAGACAAACCCACACTAAAGAACACTGTACAAAACAACTGACCTATAATCTTCAAAAGCAGCAAGGAAAGCAAGTCAAGGAAAGACGTATGAACTATGTCAGGCTGAAAGAGACTAAGCAGATTCCTAAAACAACAGTGGCAAAAACGTATATTATCTGGCCCTAGCCTATCTCCTGACCTAATTTCTTAGTACACACTTCTTTACTAACTCTGGCCTGGCATTTTTACAAATCCTCCAATAAAGTTCTTTCCAACCACAGGGCCTTTGCATTTGCCATTACTGTGACTGATATATTCCTCCCCCAGATATTCATGTAACTTGATCCTAGGCTTCATACGTCTATTCAAGACAGCTTTCCCTGACCACCGTATCTGAATTAACCCTATCAATTCCCATCGTTTTCTATTCTCGTGTGTTTACCTCTCCTGAACAATGTTTCATATTATTTATCTGCTTATTTATTTATTTTATGTTTCTCTCTAATAAACTGTATGAGGATGGTCGAGTTATTAATCTTGTTCATAATTGTACTGTCAGTGCCTAGTTAGTACCAATGCCTCGCTGGGAGTTGGGACTCAAAATATTTACAGAATTTATGAATAAATTCATGTATTTATCTACACACACAGAAACATACAAAAGAGTGGGAAAGCAGTTGAATCCAACATATAAGTAAAATGGTGGCAATGAAAACAAAAAGGGGACACCTTCCTCACTGACATGGGAGGGAAACAGGAGAAGAAAACCAAGGAGCGTGGGAAATGAGGTCAAGATGAAGTTCATATGGTCGCCCAAAGTGAGGTCTCAATTTCTTCCCAGGTGTCAGGCCTAGGCTCCACAGAGCTTGGCCCTTCGTAGGAACCTTTCCAAACACCATCCCATCTGTTCCTCCTCCTCCTCCTCTGACCTGTAAGGTTGTTCCCCGCAATACTGGTTTCTTCCCACCTTTGTCTTCCTGGGTTCCAACTTCTTGGCCCTCCCCTCAAAACATCCGGGGCTCTTTTCCTTGCTACAATGTCATCACGGCTGAGTTAGAAATGCAATGTCTGTTTGCAAGAAAAGAAATGCCAAGTGGCGTAGACATTTTTTTTTTTAATTAGAAGCTTAAAACATTGGTTGATTTGCAATAAAGTAAAAGTAAAATAATATTGATAAAGACTTCAGAGGAAAGAAGGATAATGGAAATAAAGAACATGACATCACATAGGAAAGTGATTGTTTTAGACCCATCTGGGCTCCATCTCGTTAGAGCAAATAGAACACAGATTCTAAAGCCAGACTACCTATGTTCAATCACTGCCACTGCCTCCCACCAGCTGTGACCTTGGGAAGTCACTTCAACTGTGTGTGCCTCAGATAAAAATAGTACCTTCCTCATGGAGATGTTGTAAAGGTTAAATACGTTAGTGTATTTGCTCTGCGCAGAACAGAACCTGGTTACTGTAAGCACAGTGTCAACGTTAGTATTGTTATTGTCATTTTGCTAAGAGGAAAACAGAAAGTTTCATGAGACATTTTTAGGATTTAGCTCGGATTTTAACTTGCAACTTCATATTTGTTGTGAGTAAAGGAATGCACCTAAGTGTGAAATGGATTCTGTTCATTCGATCCGCCTTTACATAAAGTGAAGTGGCTCTTCTGGAAGTCAAGGTACACCAGGAGCTTGTTTCTGACCCAGCACACGGGTCAGAAAGAAACGAAGAGCAGTGCTTCTTTAATGTACACACTAATCATCGCCTGGGGAGCCTGTGTAGATGCAGATTCTGTTCTGCTGGTCTGGGGTGAGACCCGACAAGCTGTAATCCTAACAAGCCCCAGAAAAAGCTGATGTTAGGTCTCTGTGTAATACTTAATGAAAAAGTTAAAGCCCCACATAAACCAAATCATGTCTTCTCATCACAGAGAAAACAATCCACTCTCTTTCCCCAAACTAACCAAACTGGCTACCGTCTGGGCTGTGCCTGCCCCCTTTCACTAATTCTCCAGACTCTCCTCCACTAACTGCTCTGGCCTTCTGATGCTTCTTCAAACGAAAGAACCACTTTCAGCAGCAAGGACACAGATCATCTATAAAACTATAATGTTAAACACAGTGTGAAACCTGGTTTCTCTGACAGTGGTTATGAAATAAATACCACGTAACACAAATCCAGCTCCTTGGTTGTTAAAGAAAGGGGCCATTGCAGGAAGGGCCAGAGGAAGGTGTGAAGCTTCCTGAGGGATGGGAAGATCAAGGTGCCCAAAGAAACCATTTCTAACCCAACAAATATCAAAACATTCCTTTGAGAACAGGGAGAAAAAAGTCACCTGGTTTCTTCAAAGACAGCCTCGTAATTCTCAGTGGGGAAAGCTTAGGCTGTAGAGAGGAGATTCTAAATGATTTCAGGCAGATGACCTTACCCAGTGAGACCAAGTTCCTATAGTTCTCCAACATCACATCCACGTACAAATCCCTCTGAGCTGGGTCCAGGCACTCCCACTCCTCCTGAGAGAAGTCAATGGCCACATCCCTGAAAGTCACCAAGCCCTAAAACCAAAAACCCACAGATTATTTGTGAAATGAAATAATTTAAGAAAAAAATCTCCTAGAGGAAAATAGAAGGTCATGAAGGTTAAACTGCAGGAAGAGGAAGACGTACAAATAGGCTAGAGGCCTGTGATACACAAGAGTAGGCAAAAGCAAGGAAACTGGTATTACTAGAACAGTGTCTACGAGTTCTAGAAGAATTCTGTTACAGCAGAAAAAACTTCCTGGATACTGTGAGATAATTCGGCTATCCAGACTCGTCTGGCAATATACAAAATAATCTGTTTTCTTCTTCCAGTAAATAAAAATTGTGTTTGTATATAGGAGGTGTTTATGGGTGTTTATACATACATACAACCTGCTATGTGTCTGCCTCATAAATTCTTTATAAATGTGAACGGCTAAACCATTTTTTCCTTTTAATACAAAAAACCCACATTTTTTTTCTAAATGCACTATAAAACCTCTATTTCATAAAATGATTTCCATTGAATTAAGCATTATCATTAAACCTCAAGTAAATCATTCTATTAGGTTACATGAAAAGCATTTTTTTCTTATGATGAACACACAAAATGTTTTATTAACTACAATTCAGTTCATCATCTGGCTATATGAGATTAACAGCTACTATATTTAACATGTATGTTGAACAAAATTTCCACAGAATTTCTTCATTCTGGGGATCTGTTATCCAGTATTAAAGAACCTGGATCATCTTTCCTATTACCATCACCCCTCGCTTAACTCCTTCCTTCTTCCCAAGTTGGAAGCTATTTGATACAGGATACAGATGTCACCCAAGGCCTGCACGTCCTCATCAATGACAAAATGGACTTTGACACTGATGTCCATCAATTAGGGAATCCCTAGAAAGAACCACTCTCTCCCCTTCTAACCATAAAGGCCTCGCAAAGCACGCGATCGCACATGAACTGAGGCTGAGACCAAGAAATCCCAAAGGCCATCTTAACTCCCCAGAAAACCCAGGTCTGTGATGACGTTCCAAGCTAGTCCAGTGAGACCCTCGTGACTAACTCATCACACCACAGACCTGACATGGGAATGAGAGATTCTGACAAGGGAAACGGTGCAGCCTTGGCGGAACAAGGAAGGAGGTAGTTAACAAAGGGCACTGAGCAAGACGGCCTGCCATGGATGTGTCAGGGCCAAACACCAAAGCTGTTCCTGAGAACGCACAAATGAAACTGCTCTCTTGGCCAGGGCAGGGGAGGAGGGGGTACGTTGCCATCCAGCTGTCTAAGGATTCAGACTGGCTACTTTCCTAGCTGCCTGCCAATCAGCATCAGCATCTTAGCCTGAAAAAGGGAAGCTGTTGTTTTCAAAATGTCTACAGTCTTTCATTCTCTCCTTGTTCCTCTTTTATATAAATGCTGTTTGTGCTGATAGATTAAATCAGTCTACTATTGGTTTGCCTCGTATAAGTCTACTATTGGTTTGCCTTGTAAAAGTGTGCTGCTGACTCTATACCTTTCTTTGACAGTAGCTCAATATTGCCCTCAAAAGACTCCATTCCTTAACTGCTCTCTCACTGCTCGTGATAGAAGACTGAGTACGCAGGACATGTTGAATAATATGTTCAGTGACTATGACAACACTGATTGGAAAAGGGACATAGCAAGGGTGCTGAGCTATTTGGTACTATCCTTCATGGGAATAGGGGAAACTGAGAAGCAAGTCAGGGGTGGGGTTCTGTTACGTAGAAAGCCTTAAGATAATCAAGAAAAATATTCACCAGACCTAAAAATCAGTATTTCAAAGACAGAGAAACACCAACTTACATCAGTCATGGTTCTAGAACTGCAAGAACTAATTAATGCTCCATGGGCTTCTTTTAGTGGAGAAGCGCAGAGTCCAGGAAAGCCAGAGCTGGGGAAGGAAAAAGAGGCTTTAGGCCAGGTTTGCTTCGGTGACATCTTCCTGACTCGAGCTAATCT